GAGAGATGCTGCTATAACTACAGCCATGGTACAATTCGTACCTATTACAATCTGAATCAAATATCACTCAACAAATACCAAAAAAAAATCAAATAACACAACAAATACCAAATTTCACACACACAGTGATGAAAAGCACTAAGCGTACCGTTTGAGGCGGGCATAAGCGAGGGCTCGGCGCTGCTGAACGGAGAGGAATCGGCGGAGCAACGCCACCGTAGTTTTGGAGGACCTGTTGATTTCGGACTCTCTTTCATCTTCTTCAACTTGAATCTCACTCGCAGATTCTGAAATCGAGACCTTCTTCTCAAAATCCTCCATTAATCACCCTCCTTTAAGCTTTCAATCTTCTATGAATCTATTGAATTTTATTTGTAACCTTGGGCTGTGTTTGATTAGCATGAAAATGGAGGATCTGGCCAAGGGTTTCTTCGAAGAGAATTAAGGAAAAGTATCACAATTTATTTTTGGGTAAATATTACTTAAACCCCTATGGTTATAATATTTTGCAGATGCCCCCCTGCACTCATAATATCAGCACGTAACCCCCTCGTGGTTGATGGGTAGCTTTCTATTAGTTTTTCGGCCAAACTTAACCGCTAGTATCAAATGTCAAAGTAATATTTTTGTAGATGACCCCCTTGTGCTTTCATTTTTGCAGATGACCCCTCTTGAAGTTTGACACTCGCGGTTAAATTTTGCAGAAAAACTAACGGAAGCTACCCCATAAACTACAAGGGATTATGTGCTGATATTACGATCGTCAGGGAATTCATCTGCAAAAGTTTGTAAGCACAGGGGGTTAAGTGCTATTTACCCTTTATTTTTTCCCTAAAAAATGTATTAATTGATATTTTGTTTACCAAGAGGTACAAAACTAACCTCAACCATTTTAACAGACAACCTTTCACCGTTGTTCGAATTTTAACTTTTAACTGACCGTTAACCGATCTTAATTTTATTGTATTCTCGATTTTTTTATTTTCTTTTACGGCCGAATATCTTAATGTCGAAACGACAGTAAGATTATGTATTCTTACAACCTATTTTATATTCGTCCTAATGTCCCCATACGAGAACCATGATTGCATTCACTCGAGCATCAAAGCCGATGAAAATTTCTACAAATTGAATTTTTTTTTTTGTATTTTCTGAGATTTTATTTGGATCATAATCTTACTATTGGCAACAGTAAGACTACGTATTCTTACTCCCACCAGATGGGTTAACAAACACGAAAAACTTTTTCCGATCGAAGCATCAGATTCGGTTCCCTCCTCTCCAAGTTGATAGCTACGCACGATAGTGGATGCATTGATTCCGGTGACGAACACCAAATTTTTTTTTATTTTTTATTTTTTACTTTTTTTATTTAGACAAAAGAAGATATATTGAAGCAAGATTAGTCAGTTCATCGCCAATATGTTGATTACAAAGTAAGAATTATCACACAGTAATTTGGTCATATATTGATCATCAAAATCCAGACACTATAATAAATGACCAAATTGTCCTATTATTTTAGTTTTACAGGAGAAAATACCAGTTGCAATATACACAATTTGTGTCGGTGTGTGTGTTAAGTTGGGGTCGCGAGGGCAAAAACGTAATTTTCACTGCACCCCCGAATCTTGCCCTTACTATAGTACTTTCAGTCGTCTTGAACGAAGAAGCAAATCACCACTACTTTACCTGCAATGAAGTTTTGTTTGAAATGCAATTTTACTAGTTTGATTTTTTTTTTTCTAATTTATATTTTTTTAAATATGTAACGAAGATGCATGTATTATTACCTCGACAAAACTGCGCTAGTCCATGTGCTATATCGACTGTGATCTTTCACACTGCAACAACAACATAAAAGAAGTTAATTTTTAATTAAAATCAACAGTATCGACTAAAAATACGAAATGTTCTCCACTTACAGGTACATATCTTTGGAATTAAGTTCGAGAAAGAAATTGATGTAAAAACGAAACCCATCGGGACTAACATCTCGACAAAGCAATCCTGCAAAAAACAAAAAAAAAAAAACAAAAAATAGCAAGTCAATTAAGCTCGTATTTGAGCATGTGCAAAATTGTGACGGTAAATATCGTACCTTTTGTTTCGGCGGTAAGAAGATATTCCTTAGCCATAGCTGGGGCTACACCGAGAGTCATTGCAGCTTCGGTTGCACTAACCCCAGTTAGTAAAGCCTCGGGTTTCATTATCAAAGACTTGATTCTAGCAAATACCTACACGACAAAATCAAATAAAAGAAAATATAAATAGAAACGAAAAAGAATCGATCTTTTTAACACTGAAGCAACTGAAAAACTGTCTTCTGCCATTTCTTTACTCGTTAAATTATGGCTTATACCATCTTTCCACCGATTATAGCAAATTTTGTAACCTGCGTCCCGTTCTCATTTTTTCTTCAGATTTACATATATTTGATTTAATTTGAATTGATTAATAATCAAATAGATCGATTTTATTAAAGCTTGAATGTTCGGGGATAGTATTTGAGAAATAATAATCAACGATCGCCTGAATATCTTCATAGATTCCACAAAATACAGTAGAACCTCGATTAAATAATAGTTTCTCTCGGTCCCGACTCGGTGAAATCGTGTTAAATTATTAACTCGATAATTTACGAATTCGCGAAATTAATAGAATTTCTCTGGTCCCGACTGTATTAATTTATAGAGGTTTAACTGTAAACCGACACATGCATTATTCAACTAGTTACCTTCCTCTCAGCTACTTCCGTATTCGCTCGTACTTAAATATTGATTCGTTCTACAAGATTGAAAATTACCTCTTCATCACTGTGGGTTTTACTCTGGATAACCATGACTCCGCTATCGAATTTCCGAAGCATAACTGAACTGTAAGAGACACGAGAATTATACAAGTCATAAGTGTCTAAAACAATGTTTTCGAGATTTACTATCGCATATGCAGAAGAACAAGTTCAATACCGAAAGGTAGATTACATACACATCGAATTTCTCCCAGAGAGAACATGCTTGCAGTAAATCATCGGGCGAGATCAATTCTGCAAAAAAAATTGCAATTCTGGTTATAAATTCTGTAAAAGATAGTCGCAAGAATCAAAATATTATGATACGCTTAAGATATAGAATATGAGCAATCAATAGAGCAGAGATATATAAAAATAAAATAAAATTAAAGTATGAAGGAAGAAAAAGTGAACCTGTGCCGCGGGCTCGGTTGAAGAGACAATAAATATCGATCAAATTAATCATTCCACCAGCTCTCTCCAATGGGATCTTGACAAAATCTGCCAACTAACAACCAACGTAATGAAGCCAAAATAAGGAATTGATTTACTTTGACTGATACAATTTTAAACCATGCATACGGAAAAGTAACATCAAATAAAACAGCCTACAATTACAGAAATAATCGAAACAAATAACAAAAGCCACATAGACGTAATTGTTACTGAAATGAAGCTTCAACATGTCGACCAACAGGATAATAAATGCACTACGTAAATCGTAATGAAACAAAGAATTTCAACTTCTGTGCACCTTTCTTCAAACATGTGATCAAACATTTTCTCACCAATCTTTAATTTTTTCTTTTATGCTCGCCCAAGTTTATTCTATACAAAATCCCAATCTTATATTATTTTTCTTAATCACTAAAACATATTTGAAATACTGCAACGATCACGGTCAAAGCTAACTAATTGCCTCGGCACCAATTCTCTTTCAAAATTACTAGCAAAATATTAATATTAAAATATCGTTACCTTTATTAAAAAAAAAAAAAAAAAAAAAAAAACTGAGCACAGAACTATATATAAAAAAAAGGGTAACTAATAAACATACCTGACGAGATAGCTGCTGATGGTACAAAGCACCAGCGGACTCCTTAGTTACAGGAGATACAATACCGACACTCAACAACCAATCTTGCATCTCTTCCTTAGTACCAAGCTCTTCATCATTCGCACCACTATTTTGATTACTCGATCCCGATAAAAGCTTTTGTCTCATCTTTTCAGCTAGCATCACCATCTCCTTTGCCTTGCTCTGTTTTTTTTGTAACACGAGAGAGGCGAACAATTTTTTATTTGCCAAACAAAAGGGTAAAATAATAAACACTCTCGGTTTTTGAAGAAAAGGGTCTTTCGTTATCTTTCAGTTTCAGTACCGTAAATGGCACTACAGATTAATTAACTAGTTTGTTTTATACACTACGAATCAAGACTCTACGAAACATTGGCCCTTCAAACTAAGGAATCGAGTAGCTACATATATGTTTTAACAGGCTTATAATTTCATCCCCGGTTAAAGATAATTTATTCGAACAACATAAAATGCTTAGATAATTCAGTAAATGAACCTCCGGTCTCGTTCGGTTGTAAAGATTCAAACTTATACAGCAAAAGTCGATGCCCACTATTAAACGCTATTATATAATAAAATTAGTCGGTACCGTACCCCATGCAATCGATTTTGAAAGGTAGTTACCAAAGAGATTAAAAGAAAATTTTATCGATTGAACTAGGGTTAGAAAATCGCATGTAATACCAGATTTTAACAGTTTTAATTCTAGAACTAATACAATCGAACATCCAACTAACGAACTAATCAGTTTACCGGCTTACTCAATAGATTAAACTCCAATCTAATCTAATCCAATCCATGTAACCAAACAAGGCCTAAATTAACAAATTCAGGTAATGGAGCATATAAAACTAGTATTATCGGACAATCGAATTCGATATATTAGCGTCGATTTTTCGATAACACACTTACAGACCATGAGAGCATTCAAATCCTGAAAAGCATCCTGCAAGCTCTTATCAGTACTCTCCCACATTTCCTGCTCCTTCCTCAGTATACCCGACACCCCCACCACCGGGGCCCGCACCGCCAACGGGGGACCCGAACCCGACCCACCACCGTCCCCCAAAGCCGACCCGGATCCGGATGCGGACCCGGTTGCCTCCCATGCCCTACCTCTCCAAGCTTCCCAGAATTTCCCAACAAACGAATCCGGGTCGGTTTTACCCCTCACTACCAGAGTGATCGTCACCGAATTCCGGCCGCCGTTCTCCATGATTCTTCCGTCCTGGGTGGCGGAAACCTGGAAGCGGATCCTGGGACTGTGGAACATGGATTTGATCGACTTTTTGTTGGAGATGATGTTTTGGATTGCTGAGAGAGGGATGAAGGAGGAAGGGTTTGTGCGGTTGTTGGTTTCCGGTGGGAGCCAGAAGAGGCGGTGGGTGGTGAGGATTAGGAGACCGGATTTGAGGTGGGGGAAGGTGGGGAGTTCTTCCGATAGGAGGTCAACGGCGGATAGGAGGGAGCACTCCACCTCGCCGGGTTTTAGTATGGGACGGCCGCTCTCGGTTAGCTCCGCCGCCGGGAGGAAAGCTCCGGCCATGGTGGATTGCGAGTGGTAATTGTGAACGTTGCTGAAAAAGTAGAGAGAGAAATGAGAGAAAGAGAGTCAACGGAGGAAATGTAATTGGGAAAATTACAATTTTAGTCCCTTACGTTTGCACAAAGTTTACATTTGACCTCCCATGTTCACAAAAAATACATTTAGTCTCTGATATTTCCAAAATTTAACACTTTTAGTCATTCCCGTCAGTTATTCTTAGTACTAACTGACGCACTAACAATAAAGTGAAAGAAATGACCACAAATGTTAAATTATTCAAACAAGAGGGATCAAATGTGATTTTCGTAAATTTAAAATACCAAATATGAAATTGGTGCAAACTTGAGGGTGTAAACTTTAATTTTCCTATTTGTAATTACAATTATAAGTTTATAATTAGAGCTAAAATGAATGAAGGGGTCTAAGTAAAAGATAACGACTACGAAAGGGGTATTTTCGAGTTATGTAAATTTGCAAGGACCTTAATATAAAGAAACCATAAACATAAAACCTGAAAATTCTCTAAAACCCTACTACACACAGTACACACAGAAACTGCAGAAAAAAACCAACAATGCGTCGTCCTCATTTTAATCCTCATCAATACAACGGTAACAATCAACAGCTCCAAAACAATGGCGTCAATCTTCCACCACCACAACAGCAGGTATATCTCTCTCTCTCTGATTCGATTCTGCTTGTGCGCGCGTGTTTGCGCGCGCGTCTGTGTGTGCGTTTGCGCGCGTGTCTGTGTGCGCGTTGCGTGTGTGTGTACGTATATTTGCAAGAATTTACTTTTGCTAGATTATTATATGAGTGTTGATGTGTTTTGGTAATAATCAATCAGGTTTTTGGGAACCAAGGTAATTTTGGCCCTAATCCAATGCAAATGGGGCCTCAATTTCAAATGGGAATGCTCAACAATCCTCAATTAGGAATGCCACCCTTTAACAACCCAAATGCCTATTTTCCCCAACCCCAGTTTTTCCCCTTTCCGCAAGGTCCTATGCAGAATCTGAATGCCAACAACTTAGCTCAGCTCTTGGTACAAAATGCTGTAAACTTACCTCATTTCTTGCCGAATGGGCAAATGGGGGTGCCGAATTTAATGCAAAATGTGAACCAGCTTCTGCACATGCAAATGGCGAATTCTAGCCTTCAAAATCCGCGTCCTTTTGGCAACGGGCAATTGGGTATGGGTATGCCGAATGGCAACGTTTTAAATAATATGAACCAGAATGCTGCTGCGACTAATGTTTTGAATTCTCCTCAAGTGCAACACAGTCAGAATGTCTTTTCTCCGGGCGCTGCAAATTCACAGGTTTTGCTCTTAATTTGTCTCACTGAAAGATTCTTATTTTATTCTACCATGGCGATTTTTGTGCTTTTTATTTGTTATAGATTATTGGATGAACGCCCATCATGCGTAAGTGAAATTTATTGTTTCAAGATGATGCTTGTGTACAAACATGCAGGTTTAGCTTCCTGATTACTGAATTGAATAGAGTCAAGAATGGCGTTTTTAAATAAGTTATACTGCGTTGATAATGTCTTATATAGATGTAGCATAAAACTGTAATTTAGTAATTTAGTCATCGAAACTTGACTTGCTTATTGTTAAGAGCTGTCTTTAGAAATTGCGTATAGTAGTTATCTCACCTCTTCCATTTTAGTGATTAAAAGAGAAAACGTCCCTCACTTGACATCAAAACATAATTTCACTGTTTTCTGAAGAAAAGTATGTTTTCTTTTTTGTTATGGAATTTTATTTGTTTTTTTTAAAACCCCATTGGCCAAATCACAATATTGAGAGAGTTCACTTTTATTGCACCTATTTATTTCTTTTGAATGAAATTAAACTGCATTATTTGTTACAGAACAATGCAGGATTTGTTAATGGAGTAAATGACAGAAATAATGGTTGGAAAAAATCTCATGACAAGAACCATAAACATGATGCTTCACAAAGAGGGTATGCTTGCTTTTACTGTTTCCTAGAGTAATTTTCTCTTTTGTACTGCTGCTAAATTTGTAATACTCGATGGTTTTGCTTTCACTGCTAAAAACAATATCTGCAGATTTGGCAAGAAGCCGTTTCAAAATCGTCAAAATGCACAAGGAAACTTCAAGTTCAATAATGAAAATCGAGGAAAAGGTAGAACTTATCTCGACTGTGAATGGTTTGATACACTCCACGATAACATGATCTAAATAAGTATCAGCAAGGAAAATGTCGGACTTCTCTTACTTGTTACTGATTTAGTATGCATAACGTTATGGGTAAATTCTTTTGCTTCTGCCATTTTGCTAACTTTTTGGTTTGATTAATAACAGTGGCTCAATCTCCCTAGCAGAAAACGTCGCCAAACTTTCATCTTTTTGTAAATTTATTTTGACAAGCCAAAATCATTTTTTTGGCAACCTTTGACAAAATATCCCGTATAATTGTATTTGACAAACTTGTTCCAATTCCTCTAGAGTCTAGATGGATTCTTCAGTAGATAAAATTGATAAATCATTAATCATTTTGGCACCTAGTCGATGTAATTCGGAAGATAACTTTGCATTTCTTCTCCAAGCCATTTGCTGCTAATCACTGAAACCTTCTCAGATTTGGCTGATAACTAGCATTTGGTGATGTGAAGATGGCAGACGGACACTCGTGTTTGTATGCTTGCTCATTTGTTAAATTGAGAATCTTGATTAAAGAATCCCTTAATTCTTATTTACTTCTCTCTCCTTCATCTGTTTTTGCAGTTCACCTTAATTCTGATTTGTTCTAACAATATAATATGTTCATGAGTGTTCTTTCATCATTATCCAACCAAGTACAATTCTCGTTATCGCATATTCAGACTTGCTTCAACCTTTCTGAATCTAGGTCCAATTTCTCCTTTATGTGCAAAAGTACTGCAATAAATGCATCTTAAGTTCTTGTTTAGACAGTTTCCTAATTGCTTACTTTCTAGGTTAGGGGACCATCAAGAATACTCCACTCTCGCAGTTGCTTCAAAGAAACTTTCTTTCTTGATGTGGGCGTTGAAACTTTCTTCCCCCTCCATACCATTTTAAAAATATTCTTCAAGCTTATGGATTCTATTTTTTGCGCATCTTCAATACTCTTCTGAGTAAATAAAATGCCAATGGGCCAAATGTAGGTAAAGAAAATGTATACACTTAACACCACCCTGAACTTGTGCAAACGAAATTTTTGGTTCTGTCTTTTGCTGTGTAAACCTTACAAAAATCTTTGATTTGATTGCATAGTATGTACCGACTTTTGTAGCAAGAACTTGAATGCCCAATATCTTGAATGTGGATTCGTTTCAGGCTTAAAACAACTCATACTTGCTAGGAACGTTTGCATCTATTGAAAATCTGTATCAGGAATTCTGGATTTACTTGGATATTTATTCTGTGTTTACATAGGGAACCAAAATGCTGGAGCAAAGAACTTCAACTTTTTGAATTCAAATGAGCAAAATCAAGGAGTTCAGAAGAGGTAATTCTGATGTATTTGATAATTTTGGATGTTACTGAGAATAAAGGTATTAGACAGCCCAGAACTATTCCTTTTCCATCAGTTATTACATTTTAGGGTAACTAACTATGAATATGAAGAGAGTTGTAGAACAAGAGGGTAAATGTAAAGAATATTAGCAAATATAGTTTAAGGAGTGTCCGACGAAATGCCTATTGTTGTCGAGCTGCCTATTCTCTTACTTATCTTGATGTCTTTTCTGTTCCCTGCCTTAGCTTGAAGTATCATTATCTCGAGATTATATTTTCTTTTTCTTTTTATATGTTCTTGGTTTAGACTGTGTATTCTGTAGTAGCATTGGGTTTTCTCATTTCAATTTGTCCTTGCTTCTCCAATGAAGGTCTCTCGCATTAAACTACACAGAACAAGAAATTCAACAGTGGCGTGAAGAACGCAAGAGAAATTTCCCATCAAATGCCAACATCGAGAAGGTCTTTCTACTGACTATGTGATGTTTGAATTTAATCTATACGAGAAATATGTCAATAATAGACTTTATTTACTGCAGAAGTTGAAAGTGAGTCCAACAAAGGCAGAGGTCACGGAGGAAGTGGCAAAGATACGACGGCAGGTATTTTCTAATTTCAGTTACTAAACAAACCGTTGATTGAAGTGCTGTATTGTCCTATAATGTAGTTTTCTTTTCTCCTATATGTATGGAACAGTATGAAAGATATCTCTGACATTTGCGATTCGTTACCAATTTTCTGAATGACAACTCTGATTTAAATTGGAAAATTGGGATCTTTAGCTACTTATCTATATTCTACCTGTTGGGGATACTACAATTGAATTGCTCGTCATTACCAATCTTCATGCCCTGAACTGAAGGCAAGATTAGCTTCATACTTTTTGTAATTTTTACATCTTATGTGCATGTTGAGTATTCTGAATTTCATTCGTAGAATCGTTCACACTCCATGACAATTTTATCCCATTCGTGATTGTTTACTATAGTAACAGACTGTTCGTAGTTTTTTTCGTCACTTTTCTGAAAGATGCATGTGCAAATTAGATAACTAATAGTGATGATATATTTGTTATTTGTCACAGCAACTTAAAGAGATACTGGCGAAACAAGCTGAATTGGGCTGCGAAGTTGCCGAAATACCATCTTGTTACTTATCAGATTCTGAGCTACAGACAGATGGCAGACGGCAAAATAATAAGCCGTTTGATAAGAGGGATAGATTTCATAACAAGTTTGATAAGAGGGGAAAATTCGACCAAAATAACCGGTTCTCCAAGAGACAAAGATACGAAAACGGCGATTCAACAAATGTGCCGAAGCAAAACGACCAATTCAGTAACAATCAGAGATGGGCTAATGGCCCCACAAATAACCCGCGTCGAGAAAATAAGGTGGAGCAATCTCTATTGAAGAAACTGTTGAGTTCCGATATCAAGAAAGACAAGAAACATCTGCTGCAGGTTTTCAGGTTTATGGTAATGAATTCGTTCTTCGAAAACAACTTGTCTGAAACCCCCCTGAAATTTCCGGAAGTCGTTGTCAGAGAATCGTGCGATGGAAGTGCGATTGTAGAAGAGAAATCTCAAGCGGTCAAAGGTGATATTGTTGGCAGTGTTGACTTTGATGACATCAGCACCGGTGAAGCTGCTAGTACTAGCGGGGCATATGCCGGTTTTGCTGGAGATCGTAAGGGAAGCCCTCGAGAAATCGGTGAAATCTCCGACTGATGATTTTGTTTCTGTATACGTTGTTGATTTTTTGTTTGTGTATATATGACTGTACACTTACGATAACGGAGAACTGTTTGTTGTATGATTTTTCATTTCCAGTAATCAGAAATTTTAGTGTGTGTTTGTGTAGCAGGGCTGATTCAAGGTATTAGTAGCCCTGTGCGACGAACTCGACAAAGAAAGTGTCACAAGAATCATTTGGTGTACACAAATTTTATAACCGAACATCATCAAATATAAAATAAGCTTTCTTCTTCTCCCTACACTTTCTAACGGCTTCTCGATTTCCCAAAGGCCTATCACTAGGTTTCAAAACGGGGCTTCATTTTTCGTGAAGGGCAATATTGTCCGATGAAGGGATAAAATGTGTGTGAGTGTAGTGGTAGCACGTGTGAGGTGTGTGAAATATCGTGGCCCGACTGATTGCAGTTGTGGGTGTGGGTGTGGGTGTAGGTGCATGTTTGTTGATTAGTTCTCGGCAAATTATTGAGAAACGAAGAATGCTCTGAGATCGATGCTCGGATGTTTCTAGAAGAATCCGGTTTCGGAAGAAGTATATGTTTGAAAGTTCAATCTCCCCATCATCCATATTTTGTTTCATCTCTCAAGAAAGTGAAGCAAAAAAGCAGTCTTGATATGCCTTGTATATTCAAATTTAAAATGAAGTAATTATACAATAATTAAGAATTTAAATAGGCAATAACATTTTCATTCTATATGTTTCGATACTTTTAAATTGTTTTGAATTTTAAATTTTGTTTTAAACTGATTTTTGAAGTATTTTTTTATTATTTAAATGTACCTATATATGATAAAATAACGAACATACTAGATTCTTCTTAACTTTGATCAAAAGTCCTTTGACAACTAACGTAATTTATGTCAAAGTCACTATCACAATTCTATTATAGCACAACTATTAAAAAAAAGTCAAAAAATGTAATAAGATTTTAGGACAAGATACATTTATAGACGGGTGTAATATTTATTATTTGATTTGCTAATTCAGTAATTTGTGATTAAGTTTTATCCACATTATGGTGTGGAATGTGGATAATTACCACATCAACCAAAGTTTAATGTATAAAGTTTAATGTATTAGTGAATGTATCATTTAATATTAATATATTCAATAGTATATGTTATGAGGCCATTATATGAAACACGGGTAAATTACGGCCATCTCCCTCAACTTTAAATCTTCTTACACTTCTATCCTTATGGTGTCAAATTAAACATAATTTTCAAGATCATGTGCAATGTTTTATAGTTTGTACTTGTTTTGTGCAAAGATACAGTTTCTGATGCATCACAATCTGGTATTTATAAAGCCAAGAGACACAATTTATGATCATCTTGTTTCAAAATGTGGACCTCGAATAGGATAAAACATGTACAAATTGGAGAATATTCCACATAACCTAGAAGATTCCACTGAATTTGACACTGTAGAGGTAAACGTATAAGAAGATTTATAGTTGACGGGTGGTTGTAATTACCCAAGAGGAGTTGTTTTCCGTAATTTGACTTCACATCATGGGGTGACCGTAATTTTTGCTATAAAATAATTTATTTTTATTAATAAAAGAAAGAAAGCAAAAAAGCTACATCATCCGATTTCATACAAATAAAACATGTATATTGTTCAGAATAAATCCAGCATATTAGAAAAATTCAAAACATATATTGTCAGACACAAATTTTAGATAAATTTGTAGTTTAGGGTTTAGGGTTTGTGATTTACAATTTAATATGCAATAGGTTGATTAACTATATCAACAAATAGCAAGTTGCATAGTACAGGGGTTGAAAAACTAATTCCAAATCTCTTTAAAAAAATTGTAAATCGAAATTCTGAGATTGGAGTTTAAAATCTTATTCCAAAATTAAAGATTTTCTGATCAAAATCCGGAGTAAAAGTCGCTGAGAGCTCGTATGGTTACCTATATCTGATAAGTTTAGATTATATGAGAACGGAAGTACGGTAAAGAGTTAATTTCTACGAATTAATCCTATAGAACACGATAACTATGAAATCCACCAGATAATTGAGAGAAAACTCAGAAATTTTATTAATAATGAAAGATGCTGAAAAATAAACCCTAGAGCAACTATTTATACTAAAGAAAACGAAAAACCTAATCAAACTAGGAAAACGAGAAAATTACCTAAAAAGGCAAAAACCGAAATAAATCCTAAACCTAATAGAATACCGAAAGTTGGAAACAACCCAACTTGCAGAATTCAAATCCGATTTTTGTAGAATTAATTATGAATTATTTAAAACTTTCCTAAAATAGCAAAAACGTCGTTTTGAAGGCCTAAACGACCTCGAAACGCCAAAATCCATCGCACTTCACAACATAGATGTGAGTTTGACTCCCCTCGTCGTTCCTGTTCGGAAAAGCTTGGCCCCACCCAATTCCGACTCCGCCACCTCTGCATCAAATTATTTTGTTAGTATGATGTTAAGTATGTATTAAAGGATATATTACAACCACCTCTAAGGTATAGTCAAATTACGAAAACTCCCTTCTTGTTTGGATAATTACAACTACCCCCTCAACTCCTAAAATTTAGTGAAATCTTCGACATTAGATGGAATATTATCATTTTTGTACCCGTTTTATCCCATTTGAACTCTACATTTTGAGGCAAGATGATCATAATATGTGTTTTTTGGCTTATATATATCAGATTGTGGTGCATCAGAAACTGTATTTTTACACAAAACGAGTACAAACTAGAGCACATTCCACGAAATCTAGATGATTATATTGAATTTGACATCATAAGAGTAGAGGTGTAAGAAAAAAACATAGTTGAGGGGGTAGATGTAATTATCCAAACAAGAGGTTTTTTTTAGAATTGACCATACTTCGGGGAGGTGTTTGTAATTTACCCAACATTAAATCTGTTGAATTCTAGTATTATATATGATTTGTTTATAAAACTTTTTATTTAATAACATTAACATGCAGTTTGAAGGATAAAATAGTATTTTACTTGTTTAGTCATCCCCTCATTAAATTAATGTTGGGGATGGGGGCTACTAATTAAATCAAATAGTAACATTTAATAGGGGACTTTGATTTTAGAAGCGGATTTGAAAAAAATGTGAATCTTGTCTATCGAACGTATTACTAATATGTACTATTTAGTCACAAAAATCTTATAGCGGTAACCAAACGAGCCCTTATTATATAAAATCCATTGTGAAATCTTATCTTTCTTCCAATTCTTTCAGAAAAAAAAAATTATCAAAATTCACAATAAAAAAAATTATTTCGAGATCCATTTTTTTCAAAATTAGAATCATTCGAATTCGAAAGCAGTGATCGACTTTACACCCCACCCTATTTTAGATGTTACACCGGGTTATATATACTAGGTGGTTTTTCACCATTGATGGAGTTAAAATAACAAGGAAACATTACAGCCATCCACTAAGATAAGCTCAAATTACAAAGAAAAAAAAACCCCATTTTGTATGGATAATTACAATCATTCCTAAATTACGTATTATCTTAGTAAAAAATCCCTCATTCAATAAGTAAATTTGACTCGTAAGGGTGAATGTGTAAAAAGATTAATAGTTAAGGAGTGATTGTAATTACCTAAATATAAGGAGTTTTTTTTTTCCAGTAATTATAACCCTTATAAACATTGTCTACCATCTTTATTAAATGCTATTTGTAATAACATTTTTTTTATTATAATCAATTTTAAACATCCTTAACTAAAATCCTGAATTTGCCACTGCTAGGGCTGGCCGTAATTTACCCAAATAACAAACCACTAAACATACGCATATACATATGTGTGTGATTGCGTGTAGATCAAGAGTTAGAAATTACCCGATATATATAACCTGATATAGCATTAAATGCACCCAATTTAACATGCCATGGCGCACTTTTCCATAATTGCAGGCAGCCCCTCCAACGTGTCATTTGTGCTTCTAGAAGCAAACACCTTCTTCAACCAAAAGATTAAAATAATCAAGAAAAGAACAGCAAACAAGTCAGCAGCGACCAACTCTTACGTTTTCCATGTAATAAAATATTCAATTCCTTGTTCAAAGAAAAAAAGAAACTATTCCAAACAATTGAAAAAAAATGGAAATCGAAGAAAAAAAAAATGGCTGCTATCGCCACCTATGACGACTTCCTTCATTTCCACTATTCCCAGTTTCTTTCAAGAATATTATTTTCCTTTGAATTTTCCCCCTTTCCTTTTAATTTCTTCAAATAATATTATATTAATTATTTATTAATAATCTGAAAATGGTGTTTAAATGCATCCATCAGTTGAGTCACATCGTACTGAATTATACACCGCCGCCCTGTGGAAAAATCTGCTGCTTCTCTTCCTTATTTTCTTGTTTGTTGCTTTCTTTGTTTCCTAATCTTGCAAGAAAGTAGGTAATAATAGATTCTAGTACTACCTCCTTAATCAATGCTAATTAATAGCTTTTAGCTGCTTTTGGGTATAGCTTTTCTTTCTTTCTTTCGGTGTGTTATTGCTTCATTCATTCATTCATCAAGATTGTTCTTTTATTCTTGTAAGTGATTATTCATCAACTTATATTTGGAACCCTTTTTTTTTTTTTTTTTTTTTAATTATTATTCTTGCTTAGTGTGATTTTATTTTTATCTGGGCTTTTCTTGAAATTTGTGATATTTGGTGATTTTGTTTTGTGAAAATTTGATCTGGGATTTTCTTGAATTTGTGGTTTCTGGTGATTTTTGCTGAAATCATATTAGGGTTTTGTATAAATTTGCAATCTTGGTGGTTTTCTTGTTTATTTTCTAGTGATTTTTGTTGAGATCACATAAGGGTTTTTTAGTAAATTTGCAATCCTTGTGGTTTTTGGTTCATTTTCTGGTGAAATTTGGAGTTGGGTTTTTTCCATATGATCTTGATATTGTTTTCCCCCTGTTCTTGTTGATAGTTCTAAACACATTTCGTTCGTATTCGAAAAAACCCCCTTTTCGTAATGATGGATTATAATTCCATTTCCGAAATTAATGAAAACCCTTACATTACAAAGAACCCTTCTTCCCAAAGAAGCATTTCCTCAGTCCAATCAATTCAGACAAATTCCTCCACCGAGCAGGGGGGGCCGAAACCCCTCCGATATGGCTCGGTGGGTCCCGATTCCATGCGTCTTAGCACCTCTTACAGAGACATAAACGAGGAAGAAGCGAGATTAGTCTACGTAAACGACCCCCACAGAACGAATTCCAATTTCCAATTTGCCGGAAACTCGATAAAAACATCCAAATACTCAATCTTGACTTTCTTGCCCCGTAATTTGTTCGAACAGTTTCGTCGAATCGCCTACCTGTACTTTCTAGTCATCGCCATTCTCAACCAGCTTCCTCAACTAGCGGTTTTCGGTCGAGGAGCTTCCATTCTACCGCTAGCGTTCGTCCTCTTAGTGACAGCTGTCAAGGACCTGTACGAGGATTACAGGCGCCACCGTTCGGACAAGATCGAGAACAACCGTTTGTCCATGGTTTTATCGAGTGAAAGCAGCAACAACTTTCAGACCAAGAAATGGAAGCATATTCGTGTGGGCGACATCATCAAAGTATCGGAAAA